TTTTTTGCTATGTATTACCAAATTTGTATTTGCAATTTCCAAATTCGATCGGCTTGATAAACTGGTGAGAGCGCACATAATCAGATAAAGTGGACGGAAGATCGGACCCATTTGATTGAAATAGGTAAACCATTTTCATTGATGATGACACAAAAAAAAAAAAAGAATTTTTACTTGCATGATTCCATTATAATAATGTACTTCTTTGATTCAATAATAATAGCATGTTTATCGCAATATCATTGATCATGGGTCAAACCCTCCAAATGCAGTATACCTGGTAGTCAATCAATTACATGGCACTGCATGGCATGGATGTTTTAAATTGTAATGATCCAACCACAATTTGGCTTGGCAAACTACGCAAACTATCATTTCTCGTTCTAATTTTTATGGACTCTGATTACAAGCGACCACTCTTTTTCTTTGTTATGCAATTTACGTCAAAAAGAATTCGAATCGACAATTCAAACAACACTACTCATATTTTTAATTTACACAAGTAATGTGCTTCGGGATCCAGCACTTTTTGTATTCCCCAAGCTCGCATGCCTGATTCTAATCCCCAATGATTTCTACCAATTCTCGGATATTCTAAAGTAACACTAATGGCTTGGTGCATTGCTATTGTCTGCACAAGTACGGTGAATCTATTGCCAGCAATTCACGACTCTAAAGATGAAGCGGTTTGATTGTACCGATTTCCGATGTGTCACAAAAAGATGTGATTGCCCATGATTGCCATCCATCCAATGATATTTCATTCAAACAATTGTTTATTTCATAAACTTTTAAGAATTGTTAGACAAACAAAAAGATATATTCCATAGGCTAGTAGATTACAAAGATTTCTACTGATTGACGCGAATTCTACTTTCCGAGTTAGACCATTTTCTAATGTAGTGGGGAAAAACTAACGATAAAAAGTCACGCTGTTCTCATTACACTATTCCCCAACACGTTATTTCCTATTTAGATCTATTCGAACAATACATGTTGGTCACTATGCTTATCTCCGCTTTTGGTCGTTAACTGAGAATGTCAAATGCGGTGCGGAAAGCAAAAGATGTTACACAGCTTATTGTTGATCAAAATATTCTTTTTGGAAACGGTTGTTCCAGCATATAATATATACCATAAACGACCACTAAGGAATTACACGAGAATGACGTTGTCAATGCTATCGGATACACGATACACCATTACCTTTTTTTGTTTCAGTATGCACAAAGTTGCCGATTTGCTGAAAATTTTGCCTTTTTATATTTGGTCTTTTGCTTGGCATAAGACAATTTTTCTTGGCATTCTAATTCTGTTTACAATGTCGTTTGAGCTTGGTGAGTAATAAATGAACCTAGACACACAATTAGGGATAACCTGCATAGAATGAAAGAGTGACATGGCGTAAATGAAAAACGACGTGATCGCCGAGTACTCGTGAGAAAAACTCGCAAACGAATAAACAAATACATTGCTTGATTGGCTGAAAAACTAAGACTTTACATAAAGATCGGGACTTGCCTATATTTATTGCACAGTCACACAATCTATAAAGTGGGCCAATAAATATCTGTAGTTCGACGTCAATGTCCTATCTTTGGCTCTGGCTGTGGCACTGCCCAAAATAAGTTACAAAGCATAACGAAAATCGTGTTTCTCCACGCGCATTCTCCTCACGTGTTTCAAGAGCTAATTTTAGAATAACATCAGGATGATTAGATTATATGAAATTAGAGAAAATAGAGTGAACGGATTGAAGCCTAGCAATTGAACAGCTGAGAAATAGAAAATCCAAGAACATTCTACAATAACCGAGAAAATTAGTGCTACTTATTATCAAAATCCGAATATGATTACAAAGGTCTTAAGATGCAAGTGGGGGAGCAACTGATCCGTGCAACATGAATAAGTACGATTTTTAGACAGTGCTATCCAATAGTTCCATCAATGTAAAAAAAATATATATAAATCAATCTTCCTATCCAAGGTTCAAATCTAATGTCTTGGGGTTCGAGTCTCTCTCTTTTCTTTTTCTTTCTTTCTTTTCTTTTCTTTTTCTTTCTTTCTTTTCTTTTCTTTTTTTCCCTCTCTCCCTAAAGCGCACTTCCCTTTAGGTACAACCCCGTGACAGTCGAATGATCTAGTACGACTAGTAACAGTAATCAACCCCGGTTAAAGAAAGAGCATTCTAAATAGCAAAATCCAAATTAGTGCAACTTGTTACAACCGAATATTTAACCACGCGGAAAACTCCGTATAGTCGAATGACTCAAATTTGAAATAATTTCTAAATAAATTCTTCTCTTAACCATTCACAACCCTTTAAATTGTCACCAATAAACGATATACATTTCGTCATACGCTGGTGACGTTATGTGATCTTTTCTACAGATCGAATTAACAAACCGCAGAAAACACAATCTTTGGTAGAAAGCCAAAAGGCAAAACAAAACCAACATTTTGACTTTGAAAAACTGTCAAAGCGCACAACGCGTTTGTATATTTGTATAATTCACCCAAACATTACATTTAGAACATGCCTGATGAATTAACCCCAAAACGACAGCGTGTTTCAAAAGCTTGCGACACTTGTCGGCGCAAGAAAGTTAGGGTATGTTTCTGCATCTACCGGCCATGTTGTTTCCGCTTTTCTTGTCTTGTACGAAACTCTTTTAAATTCTCACACACTCCATACGTCCCGCTTTGACTATTCTCGTTATAGTGCGACGGTGTTCAACCTCCTTGCGGGAATTGTGCTACTTTTGGGTTCGAGTGTACTTATAACGATGCAACAAAGAAGAGGTAAACCTTTACGCATATTGCAAGTTTCGGTTTGCTTGTTTCATGCTAGTCGCTATGACTTTATTTTTCGCTAAACGGGTTGATTTATCAGAGGTCCACCAAAAGGCTATATTGAAGCCATAGAAACGCGATTGCATAGAATGGAGTCTTTGCTTGGTGGATTAGTGCACAGTAACGATCCTCGAGCTGAAGCTGTGTTGAGTGAACTGATGCAAGACGACTTACGACCGTTACGACATCCAGGATCAACTGACACTTCATTGTGGCGAAATCTTCAATCGTCCGGTTCGACTGATAATTTTTCGAGCGTGGACGATTCGTACAGATCAGGGGAGAGTCCATTGATGGATGATTTGAACGACATTATGGGTATATTGAGCATCGATGAGAATAATCAAGTGCGCTATCACGGTAGAAGTAGTGGTTTCTATCTATTAAAAAAGAGCAAATGTTACAAAGACGGTGTACTCCAATATCGGGCCAAGGGCGAACTAGTGGCATCAACAGTTGAATTCGAATTAGTAAAACGTCCAGAGCTGATAGAATTACCATCTGAAGAACTGTCAAATCATCTTTTGGAATGCTATTTCACTCAAATGCATCCGTATCTTCCGTTAATTTATAAACCGGCATTCTTCAAACAACTGAAAGAGAAAAAGTACTTGCCCTTGCTGTTGCTAAATGCAATTTACTCGTTTGCCGCTAAATTCTCACCAAAATTGGAAGTAAGAAAAGATCCCTCAAAACCAGAGACTGCCGGTGACGTGTTCTTTGAACGAGCAAAAACCTTGCTCGATAGCGATTATGGTGTCTCCAAAGTTACTACCGTACAAGCCTTGTTGATAATGTCTATACGTGAGTTCGGTTGTGGGAAAACGTCACGTGGGTGGCTTTATTCAGGAATGGCAATACGGATGGCCCAAGATTTAGGAATACATCGCAACAACGAGAGATGGCATCCTCTCAATCTGAGCCATGAAGAACGAGAGTCACAAAGACGAACATTTTGGACATGTTTTGTTCTAGACAGGTGAGCTATGATTCAAATAGCTTGTCTATTGATTCTTTCATGTAGCTGTAATGAAATGATTAACTGTTATTGTTAGACTTGCGAGTGCTTACTTGGGTCGTCCTATGGGCATTGATGAGAAAGATGTCGACGCTGCGCACCCAAGTGAAGCTGAATATGATGAGACTGAAATGTTACCGTTCAAAATGGACGGGCTGTACTCTTCTACATCATCTCCCCTCTCATCTCAAAACAGCGTACAAGGATCACCGGAAACATCTTCAAAGTCAGCATCATCCGTTGGATCCCAATCGAACGAGGTAACACACAGGTCGCACGCAATATCTCGTTTTATTCATTTCATCAAACTGTGCGAGATAATCGGTCGAATAGTGCATAATATACATGCAATAAGGTGCAAACCAATCTCCAAGATGGATGACACTGTAAGATCTATTCTGGATTCTTCACTTACTTCATGGTTTGTCAGTCTACCTCCTCATCTGCAATATGATCCCAATAGCAATGATTGTACATCACCAGCAACGTTAGCACTCCATATGAATTATTATACAGTATTGAATTTATTACATCGACCATATGCACCTACTTACGCACATTCTCATAATGTCTGTACAACTGCAGCAGAGGAGGTTGCTAAAATTGCAGAGACACTAATGAAAAAGGCTCCAGAATCATATAGTTTAGCAATGTCTATATATAGTATATTTACAGGAGGGGTTACTCATACTTATAATGCTTGTCAAGACAATCAATCCTTGGCTTTATCAGCGAAAGTGAATCTGCTCAAGTGTCTAAGAGCATTAGATTCAGCAAAAGATGTATGGCAACCAGCATCAAGATACTATAATTTACTGGTGGATCTTGTAGATTTGACAGACGCCAAATTCAGTAATGACAATGTTCGTAGCTCTCTTGAGGACAGCGAGGAGGATCATGCTCCACAATCACGTAAGAGGGTTAATGCATCCACTTACCAAAACCAGGCTGGGAATTCCCAATTGGCATTGGAAGATTACAATTTAGTCTATCCACCTTATTTGACAACTACTGATAGTAGTAGTAATAACAGTATTCAAGTAAAGAGTGAAAGACACCAGATGGCCCATAATTCAATACGGCCACAGTCAACGCCGGAATTTACAATGACATCAGAAATTACGTCCACGCTCGGTTCATCACAACAGCAACAACAACAACAACAACAGCATCAAATACAACAGCAACAGCAGCAGCAGCAGCTACAACAGCAACAACAACAACAACAACAACAACAACAACAACAACAACAGCAGCAGCAGCAGCAGCAACGACGACAACGAATGTTTCAACATACATCTGGTATACAATTGCACCGTCACGGCACAGAAGAATCTCCTCAAATGTATAGTTCCCTTCCCATTCGACATCCTCGATCCGTTGTCCCTAGCCAGCAATTATCTTCTTTATCGATCAACGATCCGTTCGCAACGCCGGGGGCAGCTACAGCTGGCGCAAATAATAACGGAAATGGAGTATTTAATGCTTCAATCGCATCCGGGTACTGGGAGATACCACCATCGGCGGACCTGGAAGAATGGACGGCGTATGTGAATAACCAACATTTACGACAAAGTGGTGGAATTACGTATGCGTCGCAGGGATTGCAGTCGACGCGTATGCAAACAAGTAATACTAATGGAATATTTGCCTCGCAACAACGACTTATGTCTAACGATGGTAATAATATTAACATGTATGGTAACGGTAATCAACTAATGCCGAATATATTGACACTACAGAATGGAGAGGGGCGAAGCGCTGGTGGATATAGTGGAAACGGTGGTAATGGGGCAAATGATTCAACTGTGCCACTGATATATTATTAGCACAAAAGAAAGTGGTATAACGATGATTGTATTTATCCTCATTACACTCGGGAATAAATCTATCGGGTGGCTTTTTTAATATGTATTTATTTCTGGACTGGCAGGTTATTTATTAATGTAGAATTAATTCGACATATCTGAAGCCAACGTAAGAGGGAGGGAAAAGAGAGGGGAAAAAAAGAAGACAAATTAAGCGAATTTATATATGCACCGAGGTCGAATTTTTTTATGACTAAGCGATCTCAAAGATACTAAGTATTAGCAAATCTTATGTCTTCTATAACATCAATGACGTTATGCGAAACGTATACTGTACACAGCACATAATAATAAACAATAAAGCCATGTATACACTGTTATTTTGCTTCTTTGTAACAATCAGATCCAAAGAAAAAAATCGTTGGGATTTAAATCCGAGACTTTCATTTCTGATTGGCCACCATATACATATTAATATCAACGTTAACGTGAATTGGAGATATAACACAATATTTCTTTTGAATTGTTATACGAAAAACGCTTACCTTATTCAACACTATGTCGTTAATTGCAACTAGTTATGGACTTGCATGGACTCCTTACTTGCAAATTACTAACATAATGCCAACTCAAATTGACCATGTCTATCTGTTACTGTATCTATATCATGTTGTTCACAAATATACAATGCGGGACAAAAAATCTTGCCCTCAATAGTAACACAATTCCTTTTATGTTTACTTATTAATAAACAAAGATAAAAACTTTGCTATTACTATTGCTTATTTAAATAAATGTCTATACTTGTTTGCTTTAATAAAATAACTTGATTTTCCATTTTAAATCTCTTAATCCTGAAACAAATTGACTATTACTATTTACTTCTATGTCATTATTCTGTTCCAAGTAATGATACAGAATTTGAATGCTTTCTAAAGCAACTTTATTTGATATTAATGGACTCGCGTCTTCTTCCTCGTCATCGTCTGAAGGTGCTTCGTGGACTGCTGCAATAATTTCTTCTTTATCGAGCATTTCAGGAATCAATTTCAATGTAACTTCTTACTGTCATTATATCATCACTATCAATATTGATCCGATTTTTTGTTTACATTACAAGAATGTCTTTTCTAAATCGCGAAATGAGTATAAATTATCAAATTAAATAGCAAAATCATCAATGTGATAAACGTTGCGTTGTTAAGTTACAAAAGTCCTTTCCAATTATTTAAATGAAGTAGCAAAGTTAGCAATGATGTAATGGCGTGTAATATTTTTGTTTACGTTACAAGATCTTTCTAAATCGCCAAATAAAATACTAAATGATCGGTGAGTAACATGACTTTTAAACTAAATGATTGGATAATCCGCTACTAAATTGGTCAATATTTATACAAATCACGTGAATCAGACTTAGCGACTAAAATTGTCCGACTTATCGGGTAAATTTTAGATATAAAAAATAAAGGCCGAGTGGTTTTGTCCGACTTGGGCCAAATATCCGACTTATCGAGTTTCACTGTGTATTAGATGCCAGAGTATCGTTAGAATTTTCTATTGTGGTAACCAAAGATTTCCCCGACAATTCAACTTCACTTTGTCCATTGAACTTGGTTCAGGAGATCACTTTTGTCAAGAAAAATTTATCAACCATAGATCCTGTTGCAAAAGTAAACGTGAATATGTATGCGAAATTGAACCACCAGAGCTTCCTGTACCCATAAGGTGCCTAATCAGCCGTGATCGATACATGATGGCCGTGCCACTCCCGCTGATATATTTGTTGCAAAGCAATGGGCTTCGCCCTACACGAAAATTCCTTTATTTAACCAATGATCATCAATGATATATTTACATGACCTTTTAAGGGTTAATTTCTATTATATGACTACGAACTACGAAACAATAAATCTAGACTACGTTATTAGCTATTCAGCATCAGATATCATATCTCAAGTCCTAAAAACAAACAATTACACGTATATTAGCTCCTCGACAATTTCTTATTTGCACTAATCCACTCATTATACTCTTGATTTACACCTTGCATGAACTTCTTGAAAGTTCGTCTATTATAATCGAGCATTGGTAATATTATCAGTTTGGACTCGATTATCCCCACGACAAATGCAACTGGTAATTCTTTGAATGACAAAGATTTTAAGCACTCTGGCCACTTTGGGTTCGCATTAATTTGTTCTGGTATCTAATAACTTATGTTTTAAAAACGATTCTATAATTTAAATTAGATTAATTTCACTAACCTCTATCTCAGATAATGGGTTACGCTTCCACGATGTGAGACATACCATCCCTCATTTATTAGAGAAGCTGGTAATTTCACTAGTAATAAGTAAATCAGAATAATTTATACATTGCGCAGAAAACTTGACATTGAATGCTTTATTTTATTAGTAGATTCACACATTACACTCTAATTCATAATTTGGGTCAAAAAAAACAAAACACGTGATACAAATGACACCGATCTATGTTTTCTTTTTCTTTGGTTGCTTTGGTGGTGTTTCGTTGGTCTTCATATTATTTGACAACATAGTTGGGGGAGTTTTAAATCCGTCATCATCGTCATGAATAATAGTCTCCTCAAGTTCCCGGACCAAGGAATTAACCAAGCCCTATGGCCATTAATTAAAATAATAATCAGAAATTTCCCAATGTTATAAGTTGATAAAAATCAAACTCACCCGAATATTCCATGCTACTCTCAACGCAACCTTCAAGTAGTGATAGGTCGAAAATGTGAGTGGGAGATTAAAAGATTTTAGGTGATGCAGGAAGTATATCTCACGTCTCTCCATTAGATAGACTCGAATCTCTGTCATATTAATATATGACTGAGCCATACAAGCAAAATGTGTAAGTACAACAGCCATTAATGGAATAAAATAGTTATCACACTGCAAGCGTACCTGGATTCCTATTACATATGGCCGCAATTGACCCTTTCCAGCCTTAAGAAGCTTTAACTCTAGGTCATCGAGCATATCCTTCATTATTCTTGGAAGGTTGAACTCATCAGAAGCAAGTTTAGTTAAATTATAGGAATGAGGTCCACCGCAAGCCAGTGCACAGGCAATCTCATACTGCTCATAATTGCATAAAAGATCCACCTGGTGGTTTCGTTCAAGTTGTTCAATGAGTTTATCCTTATCATTATTTCGGCAACGTAGGGATGCTAGAACAGAAATCTCCCCCCTTTACAACATAAGGGGAAATTTATTGCCTTATTATATGTATGCACGATAAATGGAGAGATCTGCAACTTACCATGGAACATACAAATTGCCATCTAATTTTAATTTTAGAACTCCTTGTATTAAAGGGATTAAATAATCGCCAGTCCATTCTCGTTCATGACAATTATTTTGCAATGGATTTCGAAGTGATTCAAATGCATCCAGACTATAATGGTAAAACAACAAAAACCAATCAAGTACATCACAATAAAATTGTAAATAATGGGACATCCATAACATACAATTGTCCTGTTACTCGTTCAACCCAACGTTTTATTTTCTCCCAGTCATTCTCTGTATAAGAGAACTCATTGTTGTATCTAGTGCTAGTACTAGGAGCAACCAAATTCCTTAGCTCATACCATTTCTTGCGAGCTTGTAATAGATCCATCTAAAATAGGAGAAAAACGTCAGAGGTGTCAACACGGGATAAAGTTCACTTTCTCCTTACTTTTTGGCTAAATAGGTGAGAAATAAGGGACTCGATTTCATGATGGTAAGATTTTCGGACCACATCAGGTCTTCTTTTGACTAACTCAGCCCACTCTTCATTACTAAATTGCCCTCTTATTTTTGAAGATAGCGACAGATCCATAATGAAGCTACGGGCCAGACTAGAAAAAAAAAGACAAAAAGTAAGCAGTAGTCAAAAGATATTATTGACTCACTATTACAACTTACTCATATGGTGAGGTGGATTCATTTGTGCAATATTTCTTCAAAACAGATAACAAAGATGACGAATCATTTGATGTTTGTAGCTGTGAATAAGATTCAGAAAAGATGTCCATAACGGAAGATGTCATATAGTTGGATGAATATGATTCCTCTTCGACTCTTCCTGCACTGTTATTTTCATCATCATCCTTTCGCTCTTTAATTGATATAATTGTTTATAAAGAAACCCATAATGTTTTACATATTTGCATTAATTGATATAATTATTTATAAAGGAACCACAATGTTTTACATATTTAACATACCATCAAAATTATTGTCATCTGCTTTGGGTACTGTGTTTGTGTCAGACTAGAAGGAAAAAGCTCAAACGCTTACTATCAAACAAAAACATTTTACCGAAAAAATAACAAACGAATGCTATACTTTTTTTTTATTCTCTTCTGAAATTATTGTCTCTTGTCTAAGGCGTTTGGATGAACGATCATTTTTCGCATCCGTACTTTCGACAAATCTGTCATATGCACTTGACTTCAGTTTTAATTTATATAATTTTTCTTTTGCGTCCACGAGATTTGTGGTGGCATTTGCAAGACTGTCAGTTGCATTCATGTCAACCTGTCAAATAGGTTAGTCCATATACATGTATATATACAAATTTAACGACGATTAATTAACGTACCCGCGTATCAAGTCTTTTAAAAAACGAGGTAACTTCTATGCGTTGAAATGAACGTTCCGCAGTATTATTCAGCCTAAAGGCTTTGTCTTTTGCTTTTTTAAGCGATGATGTAGATGAGACGATTGAAAATAAATGGTTCTTGTATTTGTCAAGAATTTCGTCATAAGCTCCTGATGTCAAATGCGCACACACTTTTGCTAAATATTCTAGACAACTCATATAACTCCAGGCTTCAATCTCTGTGTTACTGAAATAGGAAGAAATCCCGCTTGAAATATCCATCTATACAAAAAGTTAAAATAATTTAGTTACCGAGAAATATAATAATGTAAGCATTTACTATAGGGAAATCACGGTAATGGCATTGACAAAGATGAGTTTCTGGAAAGAGTTCCCTTGCAACGAATCTATCTGAGGGGATTACAACTGTAATGAGTCCTAGTAGGCGTGCAAGTCCCTCCTTCCAAACATCGGCTGCAGGAGTCCAATATAATGGCCAGGTCACATACAGGCGTAGGTATATTTTGTGATGCCATCAGAGCGTGGAGATAAAAGCAAATACTATACAAACGTTCCTGTTTTTGTTCGAGTTGTATGAGTACTAAGGAAACGAAAACCGTCGCGGTACAAAAAAATTTGATATAATCAGAATCATGTGAATTTACTTACGATTTCATTGGTTAATTCTGTTTATTGCGAGTGTCACAGTTGAAGATCACGTCATTATCAAAAATACATAGTAATAGTAACTCTCTTTATAGTGGAGATAAAAAATCTGACAGATTCTACACTATAACGAATATCCACAAAAAAGAAATCTCACCATATAGTGTAGTTCATTAATATATCATGTGATATACACCATAACGAAACATTACGTGTAATTTGATTAATCATTTTTATCAGTTTGAAAGTATTTTAAAATACTAGACTGCCGCTTGTTTTCAATATTGTTTCGAAGAATTTGATGTCTTAAACTGTTCAAAGTTTTCATCGTTACAAACTCAATCCCCATGAGATTATTTTGTTGTAAATATCTTACTAAAGTCGTTAATCCTTCCAAAGTCATCCGCCAGTTGTCGGCCTTTTGTTGAGGGAAATTTTCTTTTCCTTTCACATAATTCCTTTTTCTGAAACATAATTTCACATATTATCCTGTTCTAATAACAAAAATCTTGCACATTATCTCTCAGTCTTTATAAAATAATAAACTTGCTTTATTATTATTCTCTATTTTTATAACGACTAAAAAAGGTCGTTTGCTTTATTAATTTAATCAATTACATACTCTGCCCCAGTCAAGGCAACACGTTTTTTTGGCTACCTCTATTTCTAGCCAGCATAAAATCTTATATCTTTTGTTTTCCCCTCTGTAGCAACGAAGAAAAACTTTTCTTCCCTCTAGTTCAACCAATTATTATCCCTCCACTATATCGAACGAAACTACACAATACGTATTGTGGACTCCATAATATCGAATTTGTACTATCTACACTATATAGAGGCGCTCTAGACTATAATCAATTAGCAATATTCATCCACTCGCCAGTATCCGGAAAAAAAGTTTCTAACATTCCTCCACAATAAGCCAAATCCACTGTAGCGGAGGTCCACTATAAAGAGAGTCACTGTGTATATGGGGGTATTACACGCAAAAACGCCATTATCTTATTATTATAGATTTTATAAGTGATCGCCTTGACCTTCAAGAACTCTCATTGTTCGTTTATCGAAACTCAGAATAAAAAACTTTACAACTGTATTTTCCGCTGCAAAAAAGTGAATCGTGTGCTGAGAGCAGTTACTTCTTATAAGCGAGAACGAAAAAGGGGATTAAGGTAAGTAAGAAATATATGGACAACAGTAGCATAGTTAATTAACGTTTCTCCGTTGTTTTTTAGAGAATAAGAAGCCGGCGCTCAGAGAAAGAGACGAATCACGCAACAACGAAACGTTTAAAGCCCAAAAATCCTAAAATAGAGGTTTTGCAAGAACTTTACCAACTCCATCCTAACATTAATAGTCAATGTGTATACACTCAAGAAGTCTGTTGTATTTGCAGAAAACTGCGCCTACGTATATGATATGATTGCGCAAAGTCGATTTTCTTCAACTGTTCGAAAACACATCCAATATGGACTAAACATACTGATTTATTGACAACAATCTTGTAAACAACCAACTTCTAAAGAAGTAGTTCCACGATCTTTTACACGTAGCGTATAAATGATGTGAAAACCAAATGCCACTTTCAAAATTCACTGAAGACTATCTGTTTATATGATTGATCAAATTCTATATGCGAAGCAGACAGCGGTCTTGGCGACGATTTAAGGAATACATTCCAAAAAAAGGTTCATCAAGCTTGTGAGAGAATGTCAAGATAATGAATGCAGACTTAAGATATGACGTGAAGAAGGATATGCCAAATGTAAGAGCTGACAAGGGAGGGAAGTACCGGGAGATCTTTGAAGAAAAGAGTTAAACTTTAGTATTAGGCTTGCCATTAAACATGTCAAATAAGACATAGTAAACGTTATTGTAATAAATAATGAGTCTAGCAATCGTTTATATCACAAGTAGAAATGGGTGCTTCAATACCATCAACATCTGAACAATAAACGACGTAGTGCTTGCGTAGTCTACGGAATGCACTCTCTCGATTTAAGAGTTGCCGGGTTAGAAGCAGTCACACACGACAACGTCGAGTATTGGAAGTATCTTAACTATGTAGTTAACAGCCATTTAACTTCTGCGAACGTGAAATAAAATCCAATTCTTGTGAGAATTTACCAGAAGGTGGGAATAGCAAGTGTAAACGAGTGGTCTTGAATCAGCCACTCTTTAGTACCTTCAAAAGCATGTTTGGACTCTTCAATATGAATTTATACACGGCTTTAGGTACATCCTGTATAAAAAAAATTACTTATTACTATGAAATAATAATAATAAAACCATAATAATAAATGAACATCACCACTAATACTAACTTATAATGAACCAAGGTAAAACGAAAGATAGAAAACAAATCCGGTAGCCATTGTTGAGTAGACTTTTTGTAAAATTGCTTTAAGATAATTTAATTATGAAGAATAGTGATTTGAAACTCGTGGCATGAGTCGGTGAGATCGAAAACATTTTTTCTATCCTCAATGTGAAGTGCTTTCAGAAACCAAAGACGTAAAGTGCAACTATTGTGCAAATTGTTGAAAAAGAGCTGCAAAAGAAGTAAAAAAACAACATTTTACTTGCGGTTTACAATCTTAATGCTGTAATGCACAGCCTGATGTGTAATTAGGAAACAATGTTTTTACTTGGACCCTGATGCTAAGGGACATTGCGTCCTTGTTACCAAGAAGCATAAAGATGTTCGGGAAATAAGCCAAAGAGAATGAAACGATTTGTTACTCGTTTTAAAAGATAGCGTTGCAAGAATAAATAGAGTTTATTCACCTTCCTGGCTTCTGAATCGGCATTCCGGTAGCAAACTTTTTGCTAGACTTCGCGGAGATATAGCAAAAGGCTACACAGTTATGGAAACAAAAAATCGTTTACCAAAAGACAATGCGAAACCTGAGCTCAAATGATCGGAAGAAAGAGTTCATTAACAACTCTTTGAGAATGAACTATAACATCAAGACTGTCCGGATTTTATCGCGTTCACCTCGTAAAATTTTTAATATAAAATTCTATCCCATTATTCTCAAAAACAAGCTTGGAGCACGGGGTCTGGGCATTCTTTTTATTTATAAAATTAAAAATTTCATTGTTTCATCAGAAAGAGCATTCCATTCTTCAGTCATAAATCGTTAATATATTCTTTGCCATTCGTTTTTCAACATTTTGTTTTTCGGATGCCCAATTAATAGCCTGCATGTCATTTTCAGCAATGAATCCGTAGGTAGGACCATTGTCTTATTACAAATGCCAGGACAGCAGGAAGAGCCGAGTTTTACGTAGAAAGGTTCACACATTATGTCAGTGCAGCAAAATAAGAGCCAACACATTTCGTTTATTGTGCAAAATATTTCGATTTTCCGAAAATCATTTTCTTTTTCGTACACTGTGTATTACGTAGCTAGTCTTTCATTGAGGTTTATTTTATTTACTAAAATCTTTATTAGATAGCAACAAAACCTTAATATGTGTGTCTAATTGAGGAGCGCGAACTCCTGCTTCCATAACCGCCCCGATCACCATAATCACCACGTCCACCATAAGCACCACGGCCACCATAGTCACCACGGTCACCACCACGACCACCATAATTATCGCGACCATCATAATCATCGCGACCACCATAACTGTTATTCCGATAACTATCTCTATCATTATACCCACCTCGACGGTCTAAACTCGAGCGGGAGCCAAAACGACGTTCGGAGCTGGAACTACGACCGGAAGATCGTCTGCCATCGGTCAAACCCAATGCCTGTCTTAGTCTAGGACTTATATGCGGTGGAGGGTTAAGCCCAAAACTTGCAGCGAATTCGGCTCCAGCATCCAGGACGGTTTCTTTTCGAGCACCTATCACATCGGATTTCCCTACATCTGATTAATTAAAAAAAAAAGAAGTTAGAACAAGTTCGACACATTTCAATCGGATCCGTTTCAGTTACGATTATTGCGCTTACAATATCCTAGGAAGGCCCGAAAAGCTGAATCTACCATATCAGCATTGATCTGTTGTACTACTCTTTCAATGCTCGGATCGTCTTTATTTATTTCTGGAAGCTGCATTTCCTGTAATGGGAGACCTTTAACTTCTCGCAAGAACTTCTTTTCAAACGGCGCTAGAACCAAGATTCCTTCTCCTTCCTTCCCAGCACGTCCCGTCCGTCCCAACCGATGTATGTATTGTTCCTTCGATGAGGGTGCACCTATTTGCAACACTAAAGTCACACCAGGATAGTCTACTCCACGAGCTGATACATCAGAGGTTACAAGCATTGCATTCCGTGGTGTTTTCCTAAACCGCTCTGACACTCTAGACCTTTGATCCTGAGCCTTTCCAGAATGTATCTCAAAAACCATAACTTCATCTAGTATACGGAAAAGCTCCGCATATAGCTGAGTCCCTAATCTTGTCGGGAGAAAGGCGATTATTTTAGCGTTCTGGTGTTGCTTTTTGTGTTCTCTAATGATGTGTCTTAAAGTGGCAATGTGATATTCCCAAGGACAAGATATGTACGACTGCTTTACTTGTATATTTGTATTCACATCATTGGGATCTACCGTATCAATATAGGTGTAATCTTTTTTAAGCGCGAATCGAGAAATTT